TGATTTGATTCTGTTTTCTCTTATAATGTTTAAATTATTCTTAAAATATAGTTTAAATATAATTTAAAAGAATTTATTCTGAGATTTTTGCAAGGTGCATAATTTCAACATTATAAGAAAAAACAGAATCAAGTCAAATTTTATTGCAGAAAATGTCCTCAGTGGGGGTGGACCAGGCCTCCAGATAACAGGTCTACCCTTCACTTTCCACTATATTGGTAGCCCTGGCCTCAGACTGTTGCCCTGCTCTCAACCTTAGAAAACATACCAGTATTTGAGGGGGGGGTGGAACTGTTGCAATCTACTTTGGGGTGAAATAAGACAAATTACAGGTCAAGTATAACACAGGTGGAACAATCACGGTCAGAACCCTGCCTAACCTAACAAACACAAAGTTGCTTAAATGTTATCAACCTGCCCAAACTACTTATTTATTCAAATATTTATATCCCAATTTTCCTGTGACTCAAGGCAGCTTACAAATCAAACAGAAAAGCATAATGGGTGTGCAAAAAAAAATATCTATTTTTCTGGCTCCATTATAGCCTATGTGGACCATTATAGTTAATGGCCCCATAGGCTATAATGGAGAATCAATCCAAGGGTATCTGGGGCTCGGGGGGGGGGCTATTTTTGAGACAGAGGCACCAAATTTGCAGCATAGCTGTTAGTGCCTCTCCTCAACCCCACCCCCAAGTTTCAAAAATATTGGAGCTGGGGGTCCAATTCTATGGGCCTCAGGACATGCCCCCATCCTCCATTGTTTCCAAAGGTGGGGAAGACACCTCAGTGCAAGCAGAAGTTTAAAATCCCTGAGATGGCATCTAAAATTTTGTGCGCCAGAACACCCTAGTGCAGCTTAGAGGGAACTCTGATTAAAAGAGCATCTGATCCCCTCCTCTTTCTCCTTTATTGCACTGATGTCCAAAGAACGCTGTCAGCTTTCAAGCAAAGATAATAGTAACTAGGATAGCCAACCTCCAAGCGGGACCTGGAATTCTGTTGGAATTACAACTGTTCTCCAGATGACAGAGATCAGTTCTTCTGTAGAAAACTGCTGCTTTGGACAGTACACTCTGTGGTGTTATACCCCGCTGAGGCCCCTCCCCTCCCTAAATCCCACCATCCCCAGGCTCCACCCCCAAAATATTCAGGTATTTCCCAACAAGAAGTTGGCAACCAAACAGGAAGTCACACATCAGCTCCAGATTATATTGATAGTCAATGAGGTTTATGTTCACAGAGTATGTTACTTATATTTAAAATTCTGTCTGATCATTCTGCCTTCTAAAGGGCACACATGATGGCTTCCAAAATTTTTGGAAGCATTACTCCTTCTGTATCTGGAGAAGTGTGCATACACACGAAAGCTTATACCTTGAATGACATTTTGTTGGTCTTCAAGCTGCCACTGGACTCAAAGTTTCCTGTAGGAAGAGACCACATTAAATTTTAAAGTCTTAAACCCAGCAGCAGTAAAAACAGCACACTGTTTGGTTAACTCTGGGGAAACCAACGTGTTAGAGAAGTGGAACTCAGACCACTTCCACCCTTCCAGTCTAGGATTTCCAGTGCTGCAAAAAAGAGAGATGGGAATTGTTTCGCTACTGAAATCAAGGAATTAATAAGATGCACTTTGAAGCCAACCCCAAACATTAACATGAACATCTCTAGCGTACAAGCCTTTGAAACTCCAAGCCCTGCAATGCTCTTCAAAAAGGTACCAATAAAAATAGCAAGAGATGTAAAATGGCTGTAATATCCAGGCAGGCTCATTAGCAAGCAGTGCTCTCCCTCCCCCCAGCAAGTTGTAGATATCCTGGCTGGACTCCAAACCCTCAAGTACCTGAACATTATTCAACTCTCCCAGCAGCACTTGTTTCAAAAGCTCTAATCAAGATTTACATGACTAGAGGGCTAAGGGAAGCAGGTTCCTCTTTTCCAATGGTTCTCCTGGACATTTGAGATTTGATCACTTGGCCCTTGTGTATACAACGCCTGATCCTTGGGGAATTGGGTTTAATTTCCTTTTGGTGACAAAACAAACAATTGGAAGAACAAAAAGTTATTATCTCAACAGAATGCGAGAGACTTGGCAACTTACTCCTTACTGGTACTGATTGTGTGCATTTATGTGCAACATAGCCAAAAATTGCATCTCTGAAACTCTAATTGTGTGCATTTATGTGCAACATACCATAGCCAAAAATTGCATCTCTGAAACTCACATTCTGAAAGTAAATATGAAAATGAGAATATTAACAAGTCAAGACCCCAAACGTTAAACAGTCTAATGTCAATTTGGTTTTGGTGAACCTTTCAGGTTCTTCAAGTCACTTTGGTTTTATTTAGGTTTATATCAACTGGCCTGGAGAAAAAGGTCCTGTCCCTTTAATAGATGCTCAGTGGGCTTTTGTTAACCAGGTGATGTCATTTACCACCCTGCTTCAAAAAGCTTCAGCTGCCCACTTCTACACATTAAGTCCCTAGTCAAAGGAAAGAACATTCTCCCTGCCATCTGGCAATCCTACTTGTTGCTCAGTCTAAGTATCAGTGAACAAGCATTTTTTTTACATACATTGACAAGAACTGTCATTATGTGCAGATAAGCAATGATTGTTCAAAACTCATTTTAAGAAATTAAGGTTATGAACTGGTGCTGTTGTGTTCGTTAGGGTGTTGGACTAGAATTTGGGAAATCCACGTTCAGATCCCAGTTCTGCCATGACGTTTGCTTGGTAACCTTGGTTGGGCCTGTCATTTTATTTTTCTTCAGGCTACCCTAATGTTATTTTGAGCTCCTTGGTGGAAGGGTGAGATAAAAAGGTGCTAAATAAAAATAAACATACTTACTAGCTTAGTGGGCTCCCTTTTGAGGAAAGGTGTTCAGGATTGTACCATACTTTCCCTTAGCAGGAGACAACAATGTCCTACTAGTTTCCTTCAGTACAGCCCCAAACCTATGCATGTTTAATCAGAAACAAATGTCACTGAATTTCATGGGGCCTGTCCCCTACTAAGTCTTATATAGAACCATGGCCTTAATGTCCCACTCTCTATGTTCTGGGTGAAGCTCATTCCTTGCACTTGATACAGGTTCTGGGGATAAAAGCCGATGAAGCTGTGTTTAATTAAACTTGCCCAGGGGTGGCATCACATCGGCACAGATCAGTCACTACATAATACGCTTTTAGTAACCCTATTATGCTCACAATCCAGGCAGTTAGAAAATAGATTGCTCCCCCCCCCCATGTCAGGGTATTATTTATTTAGGGAATTTTATGTACTGCCTTTCCAGGATTTTACCTTTGCACGATTAATCTGGATTCCATTCGCTTTACCACTTCATATGGACTAGAATTCTTACAATCAAACCAGTATTGAAAAGAGTGGAAGGATCCACCCTACCCTAATCCGCCTGTAGGTATAACAGAGTGGTTACGGGGTGTCAAGGAGGATTATTGTATGTGTCCCCCTCCAAAGTGCCCCCCATTTCGCTCACGCATCTAGACTTCTAATCAGTTACCCGTCGTGAAGATGCAGACTGGTGGATTTACTAAACGGTGACGGAGGGATACATTGAAGGCGAATCTCCAGGGCCGAGATAGGGGGTGCTTTCCCCGCGAGCTCCTGGTGGTACCCACGGGGCGGCGCTCCCCTCCCCGCGGATTCCTTTGATGTGCATCCTTCCGTCCCTCCCGCTTCCATTGTCTCCTTCCTCTCTCCCTCGCCGCCCGCCCGCGCCGCTCGCTCGCTCGCTCCTCCCTCTGCTGATGTCATCGGCTGGCTGCTCCGGCGAAGGGCAGCGGCACGAGCCGCTCGCGATCATGGCTCCTGCGGTGCTGGGGGGGAGCCTCTCCCCGGCCGCCTCCAGCTAAGCAAGCGCCGAAGGGCGCCATGGAGCCCGCTGGCCTCGGGGAGCCGCCGAGTCTGATGCAGTTCCTGCGGAAGCTCAAGGAGGTCTTCGATGTGTGCGATGAGGACGCCGACGGCTTCATCCGGGTGGAGCACTTCGTGGCCCTGGGGCTGCAGTTTGGCCAAGAGGAGGAGGTAAGGGGGCTGGCCGGGCAGCGAGGGCCCAGGCGGGGGGAGGAATCGCGGCGGGCCCGCGGGGCAAGAGCTTCTCTGTGCACCTGCGGTCTACCCGTCAGGGAGCCAGGTACTGCTCTTCCCGGTGTGAGCCCTCTTTGAATCATATTGCCCCCCCACCCACACACACCAATTGAGCACACGCAAGAATGACACCAGTCTTGTAGTCAAGTGCCAGGCAGAACAGAACTGGGAAATGTTTGGGGCAGCTAGGTTTGGTCCTGAAATATGTCAAGTAGGGTTCCTTTGAGCATGTGCAAAATGCCACCCCCCCCTGTTGAAGTCACCACAAAATTGAGATGGGGCAAAAGAGGCACCTTGAACCCTGGTGGCCTCTTTTTAGAAAACGAGCTCCAATAGATGCTTAACAATAAATAGACTCCCACCCAGCCACCTTTTTCCTTTTGTTTTGGCCATCAACTTGCAACTGTCTTGCCCTGACCTGGATTGCCCAGGCAAACCCTATCTTGTCAGGTCTCAGAAGCTAAGCAGGGCCGACCCTGGAAAGTACTTGGAAGGGAGACCTCCAAGGAATACCAGGGCTGGGACGCAGAGGCAGGCAATAGGAAGCCACCTCTCTGAAATGTCCGAGCCCTACTAGAGATCGTCTTCCCCCCTTGACTTCCAGGCACACACACACATACACAAAATTCCCCCCCAAAGTTGCAGTCAACTTATGGTGACCCCTTATGGGGTTTTCCAGGCAAGAGCCTGAGAGGTGGTTTGCCATTGCCTACTCCCATCACTGCGCACACACACACACACACTACTGTGCTAGAGACCCACAGTGGAATACAAGTCTGTAAAAAAGATGATAGGGATATGTATAATACCAGTTTTGTAGTAGTAAACCCCATGGAAATGTACAGTGCCGTAGAACAGAAAGACCCATCTGTGGAGAACGGGTCGACTGGCTTGAATTGCGGACTGCTGCTGTGGGATTCTGATTAGGCCACCAGATGACCCATTAGGTGCATTTATGTTCTTGAATCCTGTACACGGTAGCAGCACATGACTGACTGGCCTTGGGTGAGCAGCTGATGTGCACTGTACTTTAAAGCAATTATTGGCATTGATATGAATTACTGAGAACCGTGAGAATAACGTCATCACTGTGGTTTCAATGAGCCATTGTACTTTCCCCCCTTTTTCTTAGACTTTGTTCCACATTTGGGGGGTCTTGGGTTGATTTAGTTGCCTCTGGATTCTGTCACCATCCTTTATCATCTCCTAGTGAGCCAAACATTCTTATTTTCTCCAGGCTACAAACACACAACTTTTACCTGCTGTTTTTTATTGCCTAATTTCACTATCAATTTACTGGTTTCATTGGGTGATTTTGCTAAGAATGTCAATATCCGTAGGGCAAAGCTCTGGTTCAATCTATTTTTATATTACAGAATGTAAATAGAATTCTCTTTCTCTCAAGCAGCCTTCAGGCAAGGAGGAACTTTGAATTACCACCCTTATTGGTTTAGCTTAAGACTTTGGTGTGCTTAATCAATTTCATAGTATTTGCTATTGTTGTCTTCCTCCTGCTGCTCGTGTGGCGTACCACCGAGGTCTGTAGTCTTGCTCCAGTATAAAAAGCAGGGCCAGAGCCAGAGGGACTTTGAAGCAATTATCTGTTTCAGTGGAATTCACTGCCAAAGGACATATATTCTGTTCACAATTTACAATGAATGCAGGTACAATCCATGTACAATGTACATTTGCTTATCTTTATGTGAGTTGAGTAATTCTCATGTTACATTCAACACATGTTTAACTAAAGTGTGATTGAAACCTCACATTTATCCAGCTACTGGTCCCCAGTTTTATTTGGAAAGTGAACACTCATTGACTCTTTCTTACAAACAGGTTAAACATGTACATGCAGGTCATATGTGTGTTCTCTGTAACTTGTGAATGGGGCTTCTGTGTACAGTGTCCACTTGATTACTGCTACAAGCCATGGTGACTGAGGGGAACCTACACTTGATTACTACTACTAGCCATGGTGACTGAGGGGAACCATCACATTCAGATGCACTAATCCTTTGAATCCCAGAGCCAGGAGGCAACATCAGGGGAAGGTCTTGGCCTCTATGCCCTGTTGTTGGCCCTCCAGAGGAACTGTTTGGCCAATGTGTGAGTCAGGATGCTGGACTAGATAGACTATATTGGTCTGATCTAGTAGAGTTCTTCTTATGATGTATGCATGTATATACTGTGTGAATTACAGAAATTACCATTAGCATGGATGGCAGTAAAGGGGGACTAGGCACATTCAGGATGGGGCCATCAATGGTTAGTAGCCATGGCCACTAAAGAGAACTCCTGTACTGAAAGGCAGCAAACCTCTGAATACCAATGCTAGGGAGCAACATCTGGTCTTGTTATTTAGTCCTCCATGACAACTGTTTGGTCACTGTGTGAAGTGAAATGGTAGATTAGATGGATCAGTGGTCTTATCTGGGCTCTTCTTAGCTTCATCTGAAATCAGTGGGAGGGGCTGGTGGTCTGCGTTTTTTAATTTAGAGATCTTTGCTGTTTGTTTGAATTGCTTTTCATATTTTTGTAATCTGCCTCAAGTCTCAGTGAGAAAGAGAGGCTATAAATGAAGTAAATAATCATAATTAACATGCAACTTGAGATCCGCTTTCCTGACGTAGTTTAGCTCAGGTAGGTAGCTCTAGAATATAAGTGATTTCAAGGCCATACCTTAATTTTGGAGTTTGATGGGCCTGCTAGCCGTCAAAACTGGGTTGGATGTTTTGGCTTTTTGGTTTGCAACCCATGGATTCTTTTTTTCTACTCTATCGCTTGAGCAGTAGCTGCCTCAAAATGCAGTTATGTTGCCTTGAGTGTTTTTCAGGATTCATGGCTTTAGCTTGCTTGCTTGATTAAAAAAAGATGTTCTCTCTGCGGAAGCTCTGGTTTTGCAGAATACAAAGGGCACCAAGCTTTCACTTGGGGTTGCCAACAGGCTTGGGTAAAACTGCCCTGCCCGTTTAGCAGGGACTCAGTGGTATGGAAATGGGCAGCTGAAGCCTTTCATGGCATGGAGGGAAATAATATCACCTGGTAAACTACATCCCATCAAGCCTCTGGTAAGGAGTGGGGGGGAATGTGGTCAGTAGTAGAAGTATGCAGAAGGTCTTCCAGGTTCAAGCTTTGGCATCTTCCATTAAGGATTAGGTAGCAGGTGATGTGAAAGAGCTCTGAAACCCTGAAGAGTTGCTACCAGTCTCAGTAGACAGTACTGACTTTGATGGACCAAGGGTCAGGTTCAGTATAAGGAAGCTTTATGTGAATGTGTGACAGGACATTTTTTCCCCCTCCGGGACAGCTGGCAACCCTACTTGCCCTGCAGCTTTCCTGAGTTCCTGGATGTAACAAAGCAAAATGTAGAACTGGGCTTAATGGGAAGCCAAGCTGTCAATTAAAAAAAACAACAACAAACATTTAGAGAGGAGCTGTTGCATTGCAAGAGTGAGGGCTGGATGCCAGTTTGGGCCTTGATTATAGAACTCCCCCCCCCCCTCCAACAAACAGAATTTCGGAGTGTTTCATTGCTTATTTTAGGCTGCTTGTACACCACTTTTCCACTTTAAAAATTACTCTGGGTGGTTCACAAATAAGAGCAATAAAACCCCAAATCCATTTAAAGCAGTCACAATTACTTAAATGGGCAAGAACTCAGTTTAACTATCCACCCAGAAACGGGAGATGGGGGACCACCTAGTCCAGCATCCTGTCTCACACAGTGGCTAACTAGTTTCTCTGAACTGCAGGAAAACTTTTACTTTGGAATGCAAAATTGATGTGTGTTTTATATTTAAAGTTTTCCCCCACCTATACTACTAAGTGTTGGGAAACGTCCCATTTGCATGTTTTAGACTTTGCCCGGCTGGCTGATGAACCTAGAGGCTAAAGAACAAGATGTATGTTTACCAGGTGAGATGAGTTTACCTGCATTCCATGAGATGCTTCAGCTGCCCATGGGGTGAAGGCCGTTTGCTTCAGTCCAGCAACAGTTTGAATAGTGCAGTGGTGGCGAACCTATGGCACGGGTGGCAGAGGGGGGCACTCAGAGCCCTCTCTGCGGGCACGCGTGCCATCGCCCCAGCCAGGCCCAGACCATCATTAAAGTGTTGAATTCTCTGCCAAATAATTTTAAGTAAATGAAAGCATTTGGGATTGCTGTCCTTACTTTGTTTGGATCATCTTAAGTTAATGTATGAGTTGTTTTTTCTAAAGTAAAACCTCAGTCTTCAGGTTAAATTGCTGCATTGGCACTTTGTGATAAATAAGTGGGTTCTGGGTCACAGTTTGGGCACTCGGTCTCTAAAAGGTTCGCCATCACTGGAATAGTGGGTCCTGGCAGGTGTCAATTCTAGAGAGTCTGGTGACCAACGTCTGCCTAACGGGTGGCCAAGGAGAGGCACGTGGAGTCTGTCACTCTCATCCTATGGGGCACCTATGAAACCAGCTGTGCTGGTTTCACTTGTGCACCAGACTGGGATTTTCAGTGTCCTGTGAGCAGTTTGGGGCTTCTGAGCCACGGGTGTTAAAAGACTGGCTGGCTTTGAGGTTGCATCAGTGCAAAGGTGGACTCCTGATCCTTTCGATGTGGTTTGGGTTGAGCTTAGCATTGCTGGTGTCATGTGCTGCTTCGTCACCTACTCTTCTTCTGGTTGTGTTCATCCACTTCTGACTGGAGGCTGGTAGCATTGGGAATTGGGAATAGTTAATGGCACCTGCTGGTATAGTGCTCCATTCCTTTGCCTTTTCAAGGGATCCTTGGTTGCACCTCTCAGATGACACAACATGGCTCCTTGGTCAAAAAAATGTCCCAGGCAAGGCCTGCTATGCCTATTTGTGTAATGCTAGACCAGTTTTTCCGGCTGGAAGCAGAGAAAAACTTTGTCCACAGAAAAACAATCCTGCTGCTATCGTTATCAGTGTCTGGAACACTG